AGGGTTCCCCCTATTTGGATCATGTTACCAGTTGCGGCGTGACGTGGCGCCCATGGCTGCGGCCATTTCTGACGTGTTTCTCCCGCGGCCTCCGTTGCGAAGTGTGTTGCCGCGGCGACTGCCATACTCAAGCCTCCCGTCGTAGCTTCCACTCAGCCCTTCAGGGCCCTTTAAAAGCCTTGAAGCCGACCGCGCAAGTCCTCACTCCTGTGCCCTGTGCTTCTTATTCCCGCCTTAGAGTAGCCTTGGGGCATTTGGAGTTCAGAGCTGATATGAGCAAGGGCCTATTGTGGTGACTCTGACTCTCTACGGGGGGGATTCACTGAACCCTAAACCCTCAATGCCCGATCCTGAACTGGGCAGGCGACAAACTAAGCAATAAACCTTCAATAAACCTTCGCAATGGGCTTCACATGTATAGCTTGTTGGGTTCACAGGGTTTGGGGTTTAGGTTCTAGGGTTTGGGGGTTTGTAGAGTCCGGGGGCTGATACGGCCTTTTGGTAGCCCCTAAAGGGTTCGACATCGACTATACCTCCCCCCCCCCTGGCGCCATGATGCGCAGCGTGCGCTGCGCCCGCCTGCTTCGGGCGCACCGCCGGTTACCGCGGTTGCCGTGGGGGCCGGTGGCACAGGCCTTGTTCAGCGTGGTAGCCCGGTGGTGCCCTGAGCCCTTTCTTTGGCTCAAGGTTAAGGTAGTTTTACCCAACAAGGGCGTTAGTACCATTTTTAGAAAAAAACGGGGAACAAGTCACGTTTATATGAGTTTTCGGAGCTACAAAACTCAAGGATGCAAGCGGCGCGTAGCTGTTTGACCTATTGACAACTTGCTCACCTCTTATGCATCAAATGCAGCCCCCCGCCCCCCTCCTCGAACTTCTCAAGCCAGTCCAAAGCTCAATGCCCCTCATGTACTTCTCACGCAGCCTCGCCTCGAAAACCTCAGACCCCTAGCCCTAAACCCTAAACCCTAAACCCTAATAAACCCTAATGAACCTAAACCCTAAACCCTAAACCCTAAACCCTAAACCCTAAACCCTAAACCCTAAACCCTAAACCCTAAACCCTAAACCCTAAACCCTAAACCCTAAACCCTAAACCCTAAACCCTAAACCCTAAACCCTAAACCCTAAACCCTAAACCCTAAACCCTAAACCCTAAACCCTAAACCCTAAACCCTAAACCCCAAGTCCAAAAGCCCTAGGAGCGCTACAGTTCAGAGCGCCAAAGCCCCCCCCGCACCCAAAACCATGGAGCCCGGATGCCCAAAAGGACTCGAACCACCAAAAATCTAAACCCTAAACCCTAAACCCTATACCCTAAACCCCTTTTATACCCCAAGAGAAAATCCCCCCATAAAGGGACCCCCAAAAGGGAAGCCCTTATTTTCGGAACCACCCCCCCCCCCCCATATAGCATCATACTACCATGATGATATAATTTGGGATGTTCCCCCCTATTCTAGCAGTCCTTAATCGGATTGTACTAGGGGGTACTAGAATCGCTATTAAGGACTGTTAGTATAAGGGGGAACATCCCTTGAAGCACACATACGTAAAAGCACAACATACTGAAACTCGCGACCAACTTAGCAAGTACTATAGGTGTCGGAATTATTACGAATAGTATTCCCTTATGGTATTCCTTTTTGGTTCCTGCATATACAGTTGACACCCTATTCTAATCATCAAGGCCCTCCCTAAACCCTAAACCCTAAACCCTAAACCCTAAACCCTAAACCCTAATTCCTAAATCCTAAACCCTAAACCCTAAACCCTAAACCCTAAACCCATACTGCCATTCTTGGGAGCAGGGCTGCCGGCCCCTTGCCCCGCGGCCGCTCCGGGCGGCCGTGCGCGGCGAGTCTTCCCAGGTGCGGTTTAGGGTTTAGGGTTTAAGGTTTAGGGTTTAGGGTTTCGGGTTTAGGGTTTAAGGTTTAGGGTTTACGGTTTAGGGTTTGCAAGCCCTGAACCCCTAAAAGCCTCAAGCCTGACAAACGAAACAAATTCCAAGACACTGTAAGCTCTGCCCGAAAATCCCTCTCCCTAAGCCCTAAACCCTAAACCCCAAACCCTAAACCCCAAACCCTAAACCCTAAACCCTAAACCCTAAACCCTAAACCCTAAACCCTAAACCCCAAACCCCAAACCCTAAAACCTAAACCTGTCTGGCAGGTCGAGCCCCAAGACGCCTCTCAAGGTGCCGAGGCGAGCCCCACACTGAGCAGCGAGGACCGGAGGGGAGGTTCACTATTTCAGGGACCCGGGGGCTTGTTGTGCCTTTTTTTCTAGGGTTTAGGGTTTAGGGTTTAGGGTTTAGGGTTTAGGGTTTAGGGGTTTAGGGTTTAGGGGTTTAGGGGTTTAGGGGTTTAGGGTTTAGGGGTTTACAAGGTTGAGGTGGTCGACTTGCGAGATCTTGGGGGTTTTGCTTGTGCTGCTTTTGCTTTTGGGGGGATCGTAGGTGTGGGTTTAGGGTTTAGGGTTTAGGGTTTAGGGTTTAGGGTTTAGGGTTTAGGGTTTAGGGTTTACGGTTTAGGGTTTAGGGGTGTCTCTGCCTCAGCCAAGACTGCGCATCGGGGTATCGGGCAAGTTCTCCCAGCCACCAGGCCTGCGACTCATAGTTGGGGGCTGGGGCGGCTTTCCTTAGTCGTAAACGATATACGGTGTGTGTGTGTGTCCATTCACTGTATCCCTACACCCTCTAAACCCTACTTTAACATCCTGTAAACCGTATAGAATCCTATAAACGCTCTAACGCTGGTCTCTTAACCCTCTAAACCCTCTAAGCCCTGTAAAATCTTATGAGCCCCGCAAACTCAAGAAGCCCTGCACAGTCCTATAAGGGTTTAGGGTTTAGGGTTTAGGGTCTAGGGTTTAGGGTTTCCAAGCACGCCGGAACCAGGAGCTCGCTCTCATCATCCCTCCGCGAAACTTCATCCAGGCCAGTGCCAAAAGCCCCGCCTGAGGGGTTTAGGGTTTAGGGTCTAGAGGCCCTGAGCCCTCAGCCGCCAGAAACCTGTCAGGCGTTACCTTACTGACCCAACGCCTGCTGGTTTTGCAGGTTCCCGAAAGAATCCTCTCAAGTATCTGTTACCGGAACCCACATAAAGCGTAGGTTTTCGGTTCTTAAGGCTTAGGGTGTAGGGTTGAGGGTTTAGGGTTTAGGGTTTCGGATTACCTCACCCGCGGTTCCCAGTCTCTATGGCTCTCGGGGCTTATAAGGTTCACGATCCTTAAGCCCTAACTGGTTACCTCAGGAACCAAGACCGTCGGTTTTGTAGGTTACTATCGGGGTCGGAATAACTACCCATAGCATTCCCTTATGGTCCCTTCATAGATAGATACGAATAGTATTTTGTTGTGGTCACTGTTATATACTACAATGACCCCCAAAACCTTGTTTTAAGGCCCCTAAGTTCCCTAAGAATGCTCAGAGGGGTTCGAGAGGATCTTACTTGGAGGTTCATGGTACTTATCAACCAATTATAACTGTACTTACAACCATATTGGGGCACTTAAGGGGCTTATAAGTGGGTTAGATGTACAGCTATAATTGGTCAATAAGTACCCCTAAACGCTAAACCCTAAACCCCAAACCCAAACCCTAAACCCTACACCCTAAACCCTAAGTACAGTTATAATTGGTTAAATAGCACCAAAATCCTCCAAATAGAGCTCTAGGAAGCCCGAGGCTGTCCAGCCCCGGCTTCCTTGCTATTTGCGTGCGTGGGTGTAGGGTTTAGGATTTAGGATTTGGGGTTTAGGGTTTAGGGTTTAGGGTTTAGGGTCGAGGGTTGAGGGTTGAGGGTTTAGGGCGTGGGTGGGCGGGTGGGCGTGTGGGAGTCGCCGTGGTGCTACAAAGAATCTCCAAATCTTGAGACGGAGACCGTCCTGGAGCCTGCCGGCCTGACCTCGACTGCAGAGGACGAAGTTCTTTGCGCAAATGCTGACCGCCACCCTAAACCCTAATTAGACCCTAAACCCTAAACCGAACCCACTGGCCATGGTGCGTGAAGCTCGCCTGGCTTGGGTGCAAGCAGCAGTGGCAGAAGATGACGTCGGTGCAAACGTGCCCTCTGTGAAGACGACGAAGCTCCAGTAGACAGGGTTTAGGGGTGTTCAGACTTTGGGGGTTTAGACTTAGGGATCCTAAACCTTACGCCCTATCCAAACCCTAAACCCTAAACCCTTAATCCTTTACCCAAACCCTAAACCCTATAAACCCTAAGCCCTAAACCCGAAACCCGAAACCCGAAACCCTAAACCCTAAACTTTAAACCCTAAACCCTAACCCTAAACCCTGCAAGGGGGCCTTCTGCCCATTCCCCCTCAGACCTGGAGCCAAACTCCGGAGGCCTTGCGGGTGGCCTCCTCCCAGCCCGAGGACGAAGAAAGCTTAGGGTTCAGGGTTCAGGGGGTTTAGGGTTTAGGGTTTAAGGTTTAGGGTTTAGGGAGTTTCGGCTTAGGGTTTAGGGTTTAGGGTTTGGGGTTTAGGGTTTAGGGTTAGGCTTTACGGGGGGCTTAAGGCTTAAGCTTCAGGAGGGGCTAAGCGGGGTAGGGCGGGATTGCGCGAGGAGGGGTCTAAAGATGTTGGGTTTGGGTTTCGGGGGTTCAAGGCTGGGTAGCCCAGTGGGTACCCTTTCACCCTCTTGTTGTTTTATGGGCTCCCTTCTAAAGTAACCAACCCAACCCAAGGGTGCCCTTCTCAAAATATGGTTACTGGGCTATTGTTGTTTATGGGTTCCCTTCTAAAGTATCAAAATATGGTTACTTTTGTTGTTTATGGGTTCCCTTCTAAAGTATCAAAATATGGTTACTGGGCTACCAAGAAGGTTTTGAGTTTTCAAGGCTTGGGTTGCGGATCTTGGGGCTCTGGGCTTGCAGGGCTCAGGGTCGTAATGTAGGGCTTGCGGTCCCAAACCTTCAGGACAAAATCCTGGAGTTTTAAATCCTTACCATCAACCCAATGAACCCCTGAACCAACCCCAGCCCTTGCCTTGGCCATGAACGTTCTTGAGGGAGGGGGTTCAAGGGGGGGGGTATGTAACCCAAGGTTCCCTAGTTTTCCCCAGTACTCCCTCAGGCCTCCCCCCCCCTTACGAACCCTATACAAAGCAGGAGCTACGGAAAGCTTTCCAGCGTCTGGACGTCGACATGTCAGGTACCGGATTGACCGCATGCGGGGTTTAGGGTTTAGGGTTTAGGGTTTAGGGTTTAGAGGGCTTCCGGGCTTAGTTGTTGGAGTGCGTGAGGGTTCTCGAGCCTAAGCGCTCAGAGCACAGTCTCGAAGGTTCATGGGCGCTTTAAAGATGCAGGGTTATAAGTACCCTAAACAGGTTTTCACTACAGTACTGTAGTTACCCTACTTGTAGTAAGTGCCCATGAACCTTCAACCCTAAACCCTAAACCCTAAACCCTAAACCCTAAACCCTAAATACAAAGCCGGAAACCGAAACCTCAAGCCAGCATGCGGGCTCTCGTCAAGGAACGAAAGGAGGGACCCTGATAAGGGACCTTAGGGGTTTAGGGTTTAAGGTTTAGGGTTTAGGGTTTAGGGTTCTTTGGGCTTCTTGCGGGGCTACTTAGGTATATAGGGACTTGGACTATCGTGAAAGATTTATGTAGGGTTGTTGGGGTCGTTGGACATTAGGAGGCCGGGGGGGGGAGGGGGGGGGGGGAATTCGCCCCTGGAAAGCTAGTTTGGGAGGAGCGGCAAGCTCGACAAACTCAACACCCCTAATCAACTCAAATGAGGGCTTAGAGTTTAGGGTGTAGCGTTTAGGGTGATTACAGACGCATTTGGCGCGGCCGTCTCCCAGTCGGGGGCAAAGTCTCTCTTCATGTCATGTCAAGACCTGCCCCGGATGGAGGTACGCTCTGCGCGACGGAGCTGCGAACACTGATCGCAGAGGCCGGAACATTCCAGCATCGGCGACGACACCCTGTAACCCCTTAAAAAATATTCCCTTTGAAGGGGTTGATCATGGGGATTCTAGGGCCGGATAGCTATACCCTACAGCCCCCCCCCCCCCTTAAGAACATGCCCTTTACAGGGTTGGTCATGGGGGTTCTAGGGCCGAATAGAGCCCTTCCTGGTTTCGTATCAGGCTGAGGAGCGTGGATCCTGCAATTTAGTTGAGCCATGTCTTGGTATACGCAGCGAGGCAGGTGAGTGATCTCGCTTGGCTTGTTGCAGGTTTGGGTTTAGGGTTTAGGGTTTGGGCTTTAGGGTTTAGGGTTAGGGATTAGGGATTAGGTTTTAGGGTTTAGGGTTGAGGGTTTAGGGTTTAGGGGGTCGAGATCCCGTTTGGTCGAGAACTTCCCAATCAAGCATGTGTAGAGCATAGGGACAGCACCACTAGGCATACTCGCTGCAGCCAGAAGCACCTGGACGGCATTGAAACCCAAACCCTAAACCCTACCATCTTCTGCCTTAAGTCTCAAGCCTTACTCAGCCCCTAGTTACTCTAAACCCTAAACCCTAAACCCTAAACCCTAAACCCTAAACCCTAAACCCTAAACCCTAAACCCTAAACATCGCAGCCGCGATGCTGCATGTTTGGATGGTTTCGGGCGAAGAAGTGGCTTCGATACCTTCCGAGGAGCTGACCGATGCCCGGCTTGATCTCTGCATGTCTGAAGTTCGGTATGGGCCCAATCTTTGAGTAACTTAGGGTTTAGGGTTTAGGGTTTAGGGTTTAAACCCACAGAAAAGTTCTTCTTATAGGACTCCCAACCCCCCCCCCCCCCCTCCCCCAGGACGTGCGGAGCTTGAAGCAGAGGCTGTCGCAGCGATGTGGGCTGTCCAGGTTTCGGCAAGAGCTGCTGGTGAACACCACCCGCCTCGAAGACTCGGATCGCTTGCGATGTCCCCTCGACGTGCAGCTGATCCTCCTGCCCTGGGTCTGCACCTCACCCCACCAAGCCGATGAGTTCGCTGAAGCTGCTGCCTTCGGCCGCCTTCCGCAAGTGGAGCAGATGCTGAAGAAACGCCACGACCCTTGGCAGCCCCAGTGGTGCCCTTCCCCCCTTCTTTTGGTTTTTTGGGTTCAAGGTTCCCTTATCAACCATAGCCAACCCAAAAAAAGGGGTTATTTGCTGCCCTTACCATAGAATGTTAGAACATGGTTCCGGGGCTACCAAGGATCCCTTTTTTTGTTTATGGGTTCCCTTATAAGAATAGCCCACCCAAAAAGGGTGCCCTTATCACAACATGGTTCCTGGCGCTACCAACTAGGATGCCCAGTAGTACCCTTATTCCCTTTTTGGGGATTTAGGTTCCCTTTTCAACCCCTTTAAGCAAAAAAAAGGGCACCCTTTTTAAGCCTTGGTTACTGGGCAGCCTAGCCAAGGACCCCAACCAGGTCGACCACACCATCGGCCTCTCCCCTCTATACCACGCCTCCGAGCGAGGGCACGTGCACATCGTGCGCCTGCTCCTCCAGGGATTGGCCCGTGCCTTGTAGTTGGGGAAAAAAGGGAAACCCTAAAAGGTGGGCTCATATATGATTACCTGCTACTACTAGACCTCCGAGTATCGGTATGTTACAACCCTAAACCCGTTTGGGGGTGTAATCTACTACTAAATAGTTCCTAGTGTAGGTATTACAACCCTAAACCCTTTTAGGGGTATACCCTAAACCCTAAACCCTAAACCCTAAACCCTAAACCCCACAAACCTCCCTTATAAGGTGTGGACTACGGCGCCGGGCTTGTGGGCATAACGCCCCTTCTGGCAGCCGCCAGGACCGGCCACGCGGAAATTGCGGAGATGTTGTTGCAGGCTTCTTAGTTGCTGAGTGAGTACACTTTACACATGTAGGGTTTAGGGTTTAGGGTTTAGGGTTTAGGGTTTAGGGTTTAGGGTTTAGGGTTTAGGGTTTAGGGTTTAGGGTTATAATCCCCTATAGAACTGAAAGTGTACACGTTTTTGGGACTTATGACCTCAGCAACCAAGGCTGGCGCGGACAGGAACACCTGCAACTGCCGAGGGGAAACCCCTTTGTGGCAGGCTGCGCGACGTGGGCACGCCGAGGTCGTCCGCGTACTCTTGCGGGCCGGGCTTGACGTGAACCGGGGCGACGTGGCCGGCGAGACACCACTTGGTATAGCCTGCCGCTCTGGCCGGGAAGAGATTCTTGGTGCAAGTTTAAGGATGTCTCCTTTTTTTGTTTTATTGGCGAATTGAACAACATCAAGGTCAGACATGCTTTGTTTAGAGTTTAGAGGGTTTCAAGTTGACATGTTCCCCCTTATACTAAGAGAGAGGGGGGGGGTGCTATTAAAATCTTGATTTCGGAGCTGTTAGTATAAGGGGGAACATGAAAACCCCCTAACCCTAAGCCCTACACCCTAAAAACCCTTAGGGGGTCCCAAGGCTTCAAGTTTTCGAGGGCCAGCCCAGGATCGTGTGTCTGTTGAGAGAGGCCGGCGCCGACATGCTCCGATCCAACAGGAGTCTTGGGTGACCTTTGAGCAGAATGGTTGAAACGGGGGTCTATTTGGGGTTGGGGTGGGGTTTCGATCCAACAGGAGTGTTGGGTGACCTTTGAGCAGACTGGCTTAAACTGGGGTCTATGTGGGGTTGATGTGGGGTTTGTAGGGTGTATATAGGGTTTGTATTGGGCTTTATAGGGTTTATGGGGTTTTATATGGGGTTTATATGTTTTTTTGGGGGGATTATAGGCCTTGCAGGGTTAAAAGTGTTTATAGGGTTTATGGGGTTTACACTGTTTATAGGGTTTATATGGTTTATGGGGTTTGTGGGGTTTATAGGTTTCATAGGGTTTGGGGTCTTGGTTAAACGGACCCTAGGGCCCTAAACCGTCTTTCTCAGGTTCCCCAGAAGCCATGGTCTTTTTTTTTTTTTTTTGGTGGGGGGGGGGGGGGGGGGGGGTGGTACCTCCTTCCATCATAGCACGTAAATGGCCCGCTGTGCTTTGTCACGCTATGACATGAAGCCGTTCAGGGTTGAGGCTTTGGGGTTTGGGGCCATCATAGCTACTCACCCACGGGAACTTACCACAACCGCCAACCTTACGAATAATGGTAATCATGCTAATCATCATCGCATTCAGAAAAGTAGCAGTGACAAGAAAATTAGCAACATACTTGCCCGCTGACCGGAGCAGCGCAGGAAATTGGGAGACCCACAAAGCCACCCTCAGCCCTCTAAACCCCCCGAAAAGCCCTCAGCCTTTAATTCTTACTTAGTAGTAGGGTATTCTAATCCTTTTAAAACCCCCAAGGTTCATCTTTAATTCCCCTCCGGTTACTGGACAACTAAGCTTAGGCTAGTTGCATGTTCCATGTGGCGCCCTGATTGGGGAACCTTTATGTACCCCTTATATACCCTATTGACCCCAAAGGGCCATGTGCCCACACCAATGCCCCAAAACCCTGAAACCCTAAAAGCCCAGAAATCCTAAACGCCCTAAAGCCCTAAACCGTAAAACCCCAAACCCTAAACCCTACAAGCCCTAAAAGCCCTACCCCCTAAACCCAAAGACCCTAAACCCTAAACCCTACAACTGCCAAAAGCCCTAAACCCTAAGACCCCTACAAGCCCTAAAAGCCCTAAAGACCGAAGAAGGAGCCCTAAAAACCCTACAAGCCCTAAACCCTAAACGCCCTAAAACCCCTAGCAGCCCCCAAAGGCCCTAAACCCTAAACCCTAAACCCTAAACCCTAAACCCTAAACCCTAAACCCTAAACCCTAAACCCCTAGAAGCCCTGGAAGCCCTAGAATCCCTCAAGCTTTTGTAAAGGAGCGGTGAGTCCGCACTCAGCCTCGCCATCAGCCGTCGAGCGGGGACCCTGTGCTTCCTCCTTTGCTGTTGGAGGCCAGTAGTGGCATCATTCCGACTGGCACGCGGCTGAGTTTGGCTGGGTTTAGGGTTTAGGGTTTAGGGTTTAGGGTTTAGGGTTTAGGGTTTAGGGTTTAGGGTTTAGGGTTTAGGGTTTAGGGTTTAGGGTTTAGGGTTTAGGGCTTAGGGTTTAGGGCTTAGGGTTTAGGGTTTAGGGTTTAGGGTTTAGGGTTTAGGGTTTAGGGTTTAGGGTTTAGTACCCTAAACCCGAAACCCTAAACCCTAAGCCCCAAACCCTAAACCCGACAAGCGCTTAAAGCGCTCGGCCCTAAAGCCCACGAAGGACGGCCAGGTTGGCCCGTGGTTTCACAATCCCTCAACTCGGACTGGAGCACAGCTGAGGTTTACAAAAAAGAGAGCAAGTCCCTTGACGAAACCCTAAACCCTAAACCCTAAGCCCGAATCCCTAAGCCCTAAGTCCGCCCAATGGTCGGGTGTTCGGGTTGAGGGCTTCTACTTGAGGGTGCGTGGGTACTTAAAAAGTAGGGTTCTGCGTCCCGCTAAATCACGTTAGAAGTATAGCTGCCCTACTTTACAAGCCTACTTCTAAGCACCCATGAACCTCCAAGTAGGGCTTTCCCTGGGGACCAATGAACCCTACAAGGGTTTTTGGGATCATATACCTTCGTAGGAATTAGTACTAGCAGAGGGTATATGACCCCATTTCGGGGCTCCATTTGGTCCTCAAGGTTGGATTTTTGGGGTTGCAGGTCCTTTTTTTCTAAGGTTTATTGGGAGACGTATTTAGGGCTTTAAGATTTGCAGGGCCACAAGCCGACGGCGCTTCGGCGTTTTCCCGAGCCAGGTTGCATGGCCGCCCTCCGCATCCCCAAGATTTTTTGCCTAAATGCTGATAGATTTCTATAGGGTTTAGGGTTTAGGGTTTAAGGGTTTAAGGGTTTAAGGGTTTAAGGGTTTAAGGGTTTAAGGGTTTAAGGGTTTAAGGGTTTCGCCCTCAACCCTAAACCAAAGCTAGGTTGCGGCGCTGAGATGCGACCCGAATCTACCTTAAGGACCGAATGAACCCTAAAATTGGGGTCATATACCTCATATACCCCATACTCTTGTACGTTCTGTGAAGGTATATGATCCGTAAACCCTTTTAGGTGTAGTCAAGCCCGCTGCTTGACCCTAAACCCAAACAAGCCCTAAGAATCCAAAACAAGTCCTATCCTAAACTCTAAACCCTGATTGAGAACCCCCCCCCCCCCCCCTAAACCCTAAACCTTAAACCCTAAACCCTTATAAACCCTAAACCCTAAACCCTAAACCTTAAACCTAAACCCTAAACCCTAAACCCCCACCCCCCCCCGGCAGGTGAAAGGCCACAAAGCCACCGAGGAGGACAGCTCAGCCGACAGCGAACCCAGCAACGTTCGACTTCAGAATCGCCTTGATTGCAGGGCTTAGGGATACTTGGAAAATATATATAAATAAATATGAATATATATATATATATATAAAGGTGTATATATATATATATATGAGTTTTTGGGTACTTAAATTCCGAAGAAACAGCTAAAATCAGAATTGTTGTTAGGGTTCCAAGTTCAGTATAGTTAGAGGTTTAGGGATTGAAGGTCTAGGGCTTAAGGTCTAGGGATTGAAAGGCTTTGCCCAGGGTTCAGGGCCTTAGGGATTTAGCGGTATTTGGGGCTTAGGGGGTTTGGGCGCGCCCTCTGACCCCAAGCCCCGAAGCCCTCATCAGCTACCAAAGCAGATGAGATCAAAACGAAGGTCTAAATCGTGACTCCTACAACCCTAAACCCTAACCCTGACCCCTCAACCCCAAGCCCCAAAGAACCTCAACCTTGAGCCCGAAGCAGCTACCCCCAATCACCTTGCACCTAAACCCTAAACCCTAAACCGCCACAAACAGATGCGCCCGGGTTCAGGTTTTGCAGGCCTTGGCCACCTCGGCCCTCATTAGCTCTCTAAATCTGTTGATGTCTCTAAATCTGTTGATGTCAAAGAAGGAGTGTCCGGCTCGCAGCCCCTGAAGCCTTAAACCCTAAACAATAGCTAAACCCTAAACCCTAAACCCTAAACCCTAAACCCTAAACCCTAAACCCCAAACCCCAAACCCCAAACCCCAAACCCCAAACCCCAAACCCCAAACCCCAAACCCTAAACCCTCACCCCGCCCCCCTTGGTGAAGTAAGGAACATCTTCAGGATGAGGGGTTCGCGTGAACATGTTAGAGTTCCCCAAGCCGCTCCCTCAGAACCCGAAAAGCAGGCTCCGGGTTCGGGATTTAAGGTTTCGGGTTTCGGGTTTAGGGTTCGAGGGTTTAGAGATTGGTTTTGGGCTTAGGGTTTAGGCTGGTCATGGCTTTGGGTTCCATGATGTTTGGGGGGGGCTGAACAACGGGACAAACTCGCGAAGGAGCTCGACCGGGCTGTCGGCGCGCTCCTGTCTAGGCAAGTTAGCGCTTCGTTTTTGTCTCGCTGTTCCTTCTTATCTTGTTACCCCAAACCCGAAACCCTAAACCCTAAACCCTCCACCCTAAATAGCACCTAAGCCCCTCAAGCCTTCTCTCTTTCGACCAGCATGACCCCTAATCCTGTTTAGCTTTTTCGGTACTCTGGGCAGCAGGAAGCCCTTGGAGCTCACCTGCAGGCGCATGTTTTATCCAGTTTTGCTGGGGCCTTGCCTGGAGCAACCTTTTCGGAAAGGGTCCGGGATTTGGGGCCTAAATAGTGTGCAAGGCTTACGGGGTTTGGAGCCTAAGATACCTGTTGATGAGGTACTTCCCTTTCCCTTTCCATTCCTACATGTAATTGGGTTTATACTAGGAGCCCTGCGGGGACAGCTTAGATTTGTACTACTCCTATCCCCCGTAGGACACCAAGTATGTACAATCGCCAGTTTTCAGAAGGAGCCCTAAGTACACTCAACCATACCGGCAAGATGAACCCTAAGCCCTTCACCCTAAACCCCAGACCCCAAACAGTAAACCCTCAGAAGAAGGTCATAACGGCAAAATAAAACCCTGATCCATATGGGGGTTTACGACAGTAAGGGACCCCCAAATTTCAAAACAAGACCCAAAAATAGTCGGATTCCCTTACAATAGGGACCCCAAAAAGCAAAAAGCCTAAACCCTAAACCCTAAACCCTAAACCCTAAACCCTGAAACCCTAATTTCAGAAGCCAATTTCAGAAACCTCCATGTTGATGGGTCTAGAAGCAGGTACGACCGTGGCAAGGATGGCGCCCTCAGCTTCAAGGAGTTCGAGGAGGCTTTGGGGTTTAGGGTTCAGGGTTTAGGGTTTGCATTTTTTTGTTCACTTTGGTTTTTTTTGCATTATATCTGTAACATTACCTGATCTTTGACCCGAACGCATATGAGGATGTATTGTTGGCATATCATTATCATTATCATTCTCATTATCATTATCATTATCATTATTAATAGTAATGTTATCATTATCATTATTATTATCATTTATAGGGTTTAGGGTTTAGGGCTTGCTGACAAATTTGGAGTTCCTCCAGTTCTCAAAAATCAGCGCATGATCACTTGGGAGAGGGGGGGGGGGCTTCCTAAAGCAATGTTTAGGAGTTTACAGTTTAGGGGTTGGGGTTCAGGGCTTCACGTTGGGGCTTGGGGCACGGGGCATTGGATCAAGCAACCTCTGTGCACTTCAGTCTCGCGCCCATCTTCCTTGCACCATGGGTTTCTTCGGGATTCTGCATGGCACCCTAAACCCTAAACCCTAAACCCTAAACCCTAAACCCTAAACCCTAAACCCTAAACCCTAAACCCTAAACCCTAAACCCTAAACCCTAAACCCTAAACCCTAAACCAATTGATTGAGCTGGCCGCGTGCCCTTCAGAGAGGTACTGGAGAAGCCCAAACCCTGAAACCTGGAGAAGCACCAAGAAAGGACCCTACACCCCCCCCCCCCCCCCCCCCCCCCCCCCGCCCCCCGCCACAAAAAAGCTCAAGAAACAGCAAACCCTAAACCCTAAACCCTAAACCCTGAACCCTGAACCCTGAACCCTAAACCCTAAACCCTAAACCCTAAACCCTAAACCCTAAACCCTGAACCCTGAACCCTGAACCCTGAACCCTAAACCCTAAACAAAACAAAGAAACCATTGGAACCAGAAGCAATTCAAACACCCCGAAAGACCCCAAGGGCATGAACCCTGAACCGCCTGGCAAGGGGTTAGGGTTTAGGGTTTAGGGTTTAGGGTTTAGGGTTTAGGGTTTAGGGTTTAGGGTTTAGGGTTTAGGGTTTAGGGTTTAGGGTTTAGGGTTCGTGGTGCCCAAGAAACTATCCTAAGCCCTGCTGGCAACGTCCCCAATTCCTAAGCCCCTTGCTTGAGCAACAATCTTTCCGGGTTTAGGGTTTAGGGCTTAGGGTTTAGGGTTGGGATGCTTCCGCTTATCCGAACAGTCCTGAATAGGGATCATAGTACCCCCTGTTATAGTCCCCATGAAGGACTGTTAGTATAAGGGGAACATTCCAAGTTTAGGGTTGAGGGTTGAGGGTTTAGGGTTTAGGGGCAACAAGCAGAGTTTTTTGCCTGCGTCACCAGGCCGTTCTGTCCATCGCCTCGCCCGTAGATCGCCGAGCGACGCTGGGTTGCGAGAGTGGGTTTGATTTCACGGTTAGGGTTTAGGGTTTAGGGTTTTAGGGTTTAGGGTTTAGGGTTCGCCTACTTACTACCCCCCTCTATACCACCCCCCCCCCCCCCCCCCCCCCAGGGTTCCCCCGATAATTAAAACTATTTACTGTTTAGGGTTTAGGGTTTAGGGCTTACTTGGTAGCCCAGGTGGTACCCCTTTCCCTTGTTTTGGTTCTGGGTTTGCTTTGTAAAGTCGCCAACCAAAAAAGGTGCCCTTATTATAGGGCGCGTGCAGCCCCAAGACCACCCACGTAGTGAGAGTGTCTCCTTCAAAGAATGTATACTTTGCATGCGTGATTGAGGCCACACACGGATTCATATATGCAAGTTCCTGACGATCAAAACCCCTATCGAAGAACACAACAGCTGTCTGAGTAGGGAACATGCAGCCAAAACAACACACGCTTTTGTGCATCTTGGTATCGGTTCCTTAAGAGAGTACGCTATGTATACCACTCGGCCTAGTGCACACACATTAGTTTGGGCAACCACGCGGTGGGGGGAATCCGCCTTTTGGCGTTCGAAGGCCTAAAAGTGCCTGCAAAGGGACTTCCTCTCATGGTTTAGGGTTTAGGGTTCAGAGTTTATAGCGGCATCCTGGTGGAGGTGGAGCTAAACCCTAAACCCTAAACCCTAAACCCTAAACCCTAAACCCTAAACCCTAAACCCTAAACTTGGTTACAGCCCACCGAAAGAAGGGAGCAGCCTCCACCCCGAAAGCCCCTCACAAACCTCCGGTGCTTATCCAGATCTGCGACCCAGACCGAAAACCCTAGCTAAGCCCGAATCCTGCTAGTCCCATAGGGTTTAGGGTTGAGGGTTGAGGGTTTAGGGTTAGGGTTTAGGGTTTAGGGTTTAGGGTTTAGGGTTTAGGGTTTAGGGTTTAGGGTTTAGGGTTTAGGGTTTAGGGTTTAGGGTTTAGGGTTTAGGGGGGGAACATCCCAGCTTATCACCTTTGGAAAGTTCCGACCTTGGCCCCTGTGTGCCCTCTCCGAAGGTATGCCCTTGCAGCAGCGATAGGCCTGTGCCTATGAAGGGTTTAGGGACCCAGAGTAGGCCACTTATTCCCTTTTTTAAGGGTTGAGGTTCCCTGATACTCCCCTTATTAAGGCAAAAAAGGGCACCCGTTTCGGATACCTAGGCTACTCTTGGGTCGAGGAGGGTTTTTCGGGCTTGTGCGGAAAAAGAAGCTCGAAGAGATGCTTCTGGGGGTTTAGGGGTTTAGGGGTTTAGGGTTTAGGGGTTTAGGGTTTAGGGGTTTAGGGTTTAGGGTTTAGGGTTTAGGGTTTAGGGTTTAGGGTTTTCTAAGCATGTTCATGCCGAATCACCCCGCGGCTATGTAGCTAGGACCGGGAGTAGGGCCTGTTTCCATTTTTTTAGGTTGGGTTCCCATGCAATCCTAGATCATCCGGTGGCTATGTAGGCTCCCCAGCCTGTAGTAGGGTTCAGGGTTTAAACCGCGCAGGAATATCCAACGTGCTTTTTGTCTTTTCCTACAACCGCCTAGTTCTTGCAACCAGGCACTTTACACAAGCCTTGGTACCTCACATTTTGCGCCTTATGTTTTGTAGCTTGAGCCTTGTATTTTCCTCCCCCCCCCCCCCCCCGTACTCCCTTTAAACCCTGTCCTGGGCGACGCCTCAAACCTAGTAGCCCTAAAGCTTGAAGCAAGATACAAGGACGGGAAGCTTGGATAAGAACCTGTTTTTTTGGTATTCCTCGGGGGGGAGAAGGGGGAGGGGGGGGGGGGTGGAGGGAAGGGATTAGCGGAAATCCAGTCCCCAACACCCGAAACCCGAAACCCTAAACCCTAAACCCTAAACCCTAAACCCACCGTCAGGTATCGCGTTCGCGGGCTTCTCTGTAACATTTCCGAGCCTTTGGGGCATCTCAGGTGTGCAACTCGAGGAGCTTAGGGTTTAGGGTTTAGGGTTTAAGGTCACCGACGTGCGGAAGAGGAGCCATGATTTCGATGCCATGTGCCAGCGAGACGAACGAAGACTTGCCAAGGCCCAGCAGCGCCGCAAGCGGAAGAGAGACCAGCGATGTGCTTCCAGTTCGAGCTCCACTTCTGGTTCCAGCTCCAGTTCGTAAGACTCGCAAGCTTTTGTGCCTGCCCGTGGAAAACGGTGGCCAGTCTGCTGCCAAGGGTATTCTGGATAAGGGTTTATAGGATTAGGGCGGGTATATAGTGAACAATGTATGAGCCCCAAGCTATGGTTTCCTTTAGACGATACCGTGCCTTCGTAACCTAGGCAATTCCTTGGAAAAACGATACCTAATACCAAAAACGATACCCTCGCACGCATGTCCGCTTGTGGTCCTTCGAATATTGCCGCACGCTCATTTCGATTTAGGGTTGAGGTTTTAGGGTTTAGGGTTTAGAGTTCGGGGTTGATCCGCAGCCTCACATGAGTACTTGCACAGACGGAAGAGGAATCATGCACTTGTCGGGGGTTACTTTTGCAATTTGGCGTCCAAGTGGTATGACTTGGGAGGTTCCCCCCTTATACTAACAGTTCTTAATAGGAATTATAATAAGGGGTACTATCATCCCGGTAACGGACTGTCACAACCCCAAGGTTGTCCCAAGCTAAGACCCTCTTAACCCATAGACGTCATCCCCCTGGGGAATTATCTTTTATTTTTGCTTATATGAAACCCAAGAGGATATAAAACTTTTGTGTTATTAGGGTTCTAAGGGGGGTATAGCAGAAGTTTGGTTTCTATAGTGCTCCCCCAGTTGGCCTGGGAAAGAAGCGGCCATGGAGCCGGAATGCCCCCTAAAAAAAGTGCCCTAAAGCCGAAACCCTAAACCCTAAAATCCTAAACCCTAAACCCTAAACCCTAAAACCTAAACCCTAAACCCTAAACCCTAAATCCTAAATCCTGAACCCTAAACCTGAACGCAGCTTGGGCAGGCGTACCTTGCAAGACCTAAACCTAAACCCCCGAACCAATCCACCCAAAATACCTGAACCCCCACTTGCTCATGGTACTTATGAACCAATCATAATTGTACTCAGAACTGTACTTCTATCCATGTTAGGGCACTTCAGGGGCTGATAAGTGGGTTAGAAGTACGGACAGAATTGGTTAAGAAGTACCAGGAGCCTCCAAGCAAAGTCCCTGATTGGATACCCTAAACCCTAAACCCCATCATCGCATCGGACTCCTTGAGCACCCCCCTCGAGCCGCAGCCCCGAACCCGAAATCGAACTGAGGATTCGAGGTTTAGGGGTCCTAGGGTTTAGGGACCCTAAACCTAAACCCCAGAAGCCCCAAACCCTAGACCCTAAACCCTAAACCCTAAACCCTGAACCCTAAACCCTAAACCCTAAACCCATCATATGACTTCCCAGGATGGGTCCAACGTTGATCCAGACTTTTGGGATGTCTCAGCTACAGTTTGGGACACTGACGACGGCGTTTGCCATTGCAAAGCAGCTCGGTTTGCGGGGTTTCGGTGTTTAGAGCGTTAGGGGTTCCTAAACCCTAACCCTAAACCCTAAACCCTAAAGCCTGAACGCAGAGTAGGCCGGTATTCCCCCTTTGATTAGGGCTCAAGATCCCACATGTTCCCACATAAGCCCCTGTAACCCAAACCCTGCACCCTTGTTATTCCTGGGTTTCTCTTGTGTCTGGGGGGTTTAGACGCTTACGGTTCTTGGGATTTAGGGTTTAGGGATTAGGGTTTGGGGTCAGATTCTTGAGGTTCAGTTAGGGTTCTCGCAGTTTAGACACTTGCAGGTTTAGAGGTTCAAAACCCTAAGCCCCAAATCCTGTCAGCCTGAGATGGATGTGGGTTTGGCTTAGAGGGTTTAGGGTTTAGGGTTTTTTGGGGTTTACAGCTGGGGGGCGGGGAGGGATGGACTGTGTTTGAGAAGTCTAGAGGCTGAAGTGTGGCGAATTGGCTCTGAATCCTGACGCCCTAAAGCCTGAAGCCTAAAACCTAAAGCCTAAACCGTGTGCCGAAGGGCAAGGAAACTCCTCAACCGCCGCAAGCTGCAAGGATTCAGAGAGTCTGGGATAGCGTTTTTGGGGCAGCACAAGGTATGTTTGGGCATTCACAGTTTTTTTCAGGGCCTCGAGGGGTTTTAGGGTTTGTATTGGGGGGTTGTATAAGGGGCATGTCTCATGTTTCTTAGGGTTTTGTTTAGGGTTTAGGGTTTAGGGTTTAGGGTTTAGGGTTTAGGGTTTAGGGTTTAGGTTAAGGTTTTAGGGTTTAGGGTGGCCCACACCCACGAAACCCGAGGCTTTGTGGCAACATTCCGTCCTCGATCCTCTCGGAGGTCCCCTCATCAGCGGATCAAAACGAACTGCAGAGACGAATGTTGGGTATAGGGTGTGGCTTTAGGGTTTTGGGTTTTGGGTCCTAGAGTGTTTTGAGGATCATGTGGGTTATAGCCGTGGGATGAGTTCGGTTGTTGGGTTGTCGGGCATTCGCTGTAGGATGCTGTAGGTTTTTCGGGTTTAGGGTGGGGTCGCTTGATTTCGACTTCGGGGCCAGTGCGGAAGCCTCGAGGCTCGACCGACAACCCCAACTCCTGAGCCCAAAGTAAGCCCCAAGAGAAGAAGAGGTTTCAAGGGTCAAACTCCCGAAAATAGCTGCTGAGTCGAAAATGTCAGCAGCAAGATTCATCGTACTTGTGCACGCATGTTTGTTCTTCAGCTTCTTGTATTTGACTATCTGTCCCGTACTAAGATGACGGTTATCACAATGTTTGTTTTGAACAACCAGGTAGGTTCCTTTGTTGTCTCTGTTTTGTTAGTGGAAATGACGGTTTCACCAGGGTTTGGCCGTGCTTGCACGTCTAAGAACAGGTTGTGAATCATGGGCATTTTCCGGGAATCTGCAAGAGCCCATGCGGTTTTTCCGTAAGAGAAGAAGAAACGCCTGTGAATCATGTGTGAGCTGCGTGTTCTGCGCGCGGGCGCGCGAATGATTCAACACACACCCACACACGTTTTCGGGTGGATCCCCTTACTTGATGTTTCTGCATTTTCCAAGGTCTTCTTGTTACCCAAAGGGTCCTAAGTACCTATATGGGGGACACTTACCCAAACCATAATAGTAATTCCTATTATGGAAACCCCTGCTTAGTACTATGTAGGTACTTAGGACCCTTTGGGTTAGTGATCTTGCTTTTACAGGTTCGGGCGAAAATTACCTCTGGGTTTGGGTTTGGTTTTAAGGGTTCGGGTTTGCATGGATGTCCTTGGCATGGTTTAGGGTTCAGTGCTTACAGGGTGAAATTAGGGTGATTTGGCCAGATGGGCGTCCAGGAAACACAACGGCCAACAACCATGGTTTCGCTGGACGGAAAAAGTGCGCGTCGGCACGAACAGCAAAACTAATACGAATCCTAAACCCTAACCCTAAACCCTAAACCCTATAGACATCTCGTGAACACAACAAGAAACAGTCACTTTCAACCTTCGAGCATACAACTACGAATGACTTAGTTTTCTTCTCAACCGTATCTTGTGGCTTCTTCTACTTGCTGCTACCGCTACATCTACATTTGCAACAAGCACCGCTATATTCAGCACCGGAAGGCACCATCACCATGGCGACAACCACCAACTCCGTCATCAAAGCATCTCCACCGTCACTCTGACTGTCGCAAGGAGTAGACACGCTGACAAGAATGCCAAACTTGCGCACAAGATTTTTCGACTCGAAGTGCACCACAAACAAGAAACCCTGAACCCTAAACCCTAAATCCTGAACCCTCAAACCCTAAACCCTAAACCCTAAACCCTAAACCCTAAACCACTCGGGCAGAAGACGAGCGAGCAACAAGCCGGGAGGCCTATGGGCGCAAGCCGCTGCTGGTGGGAGGCTTGCTCTCCATCGCTACAGGCTGCCGCTGGGGAGGGTTTGGGGCTTTGGGGTTTAGGGTTTAGGGCTAGAGGTCTAGGGTTTAGGGTTTAGGGTTTCGGGTTTAGGGTTTGGGGTTTAGGGTTTGGGGTTACCAAGCTGCCCGCCGGGCCAACAAAAACACCTTCAACCCCTGGTCGCGATCCCAAGGGTTTGCCAGGCTATAGGATAGGTCTCAGCGGTAGAGGGCACAGCGGTAGAGGGAACAAAGGGTTGGCGGGTTGAGGTTGACCCCGAAACCCTAAAACCCTACAGCCCTAAAGCCCTAAAACCCTAAAGCCCTAATTCCTAAAGCCCAAAGACCCCGAAAAAGAACCCTAAAACCAAATTTAAAAACCTGAAGTGCCCCGAACCCCTAAAGCCCTAAAGCCCCAAAGCCCTAGAACCCCGAAAAGAAGCCTAGAACCAGATTCAAAAAACCTGGAGTACCCCAAACCCCTAAAACCCTAAAGCCCTAGAACCCCGAAAAACTAAATCAAATTCAAAAACCTGGAGTACCCCAAACCCTAAAACCCTAAACCCCAAACCCCAAAAACCCCAAACCCCAAAACCTACACCCTGAACCCTAAACCCCTAAACCCTAAACCCCAAACCCTGCGCTCAAGTCTCAGGCATTGCAGGTGTCGCGTTCGCCAGCTGCTACGAGCAGCTCATGGTCCTCAGGCGCGGTTTAGGGTTTAGGGTTGAGGGTTGAAGGTTCAGGGTGTGCAAACGACCAGTTGTGGCTCTCTTCCACCATTTAGAACCCTCGAATTATATCCGAAGCCCTGCAGCCCGAGACGCAAAAGCCTGTAGCTTCTTCCTCCATTTTAACACGCCGCGTCCGACAAAACCTGAAAACCCCACAACCCCCCTCCCACCCCCTCAAACCTCAGGGAACTAGGTACCTTATATTCCCTAATAGAGAACCTCCTGAGGGATTGCATAGTAGGTTACCTGATTCCGCTCCTTCGCTCCTAAGAACCTGTAAGTCCTAAACCCTAAACCCTAAACCCTAACCCCTAACCCCTAACCCCTAACCCCTAACCCCTAACCCCTAACCCCTAACCCCTAACCCCTAACCCCTAACCCCTAAACCCTAAACCCTAAACCCTAAACCCTAAACCCTAAACCCTAAACCCTAAACCCTAAACCCTAAACCCTAAACCCTAAACCCTAAACCCTAAACCCTAAACCAAACTGCTGCGGCAGGCTTGCTGTGGGCCTCGGTGTCGCGTCGACTTTTACATCTGCAGGCTTTTGTGGGTTTAAGGTTTTGGGGCTGGGTGTCGGGTTTAGGCTTTAGGCTTTAGCACTGCACTGCGAACGGGGTTCAGGGTCATAGGGTTTGGGGTTCAGGGGGGGCTTTAGGATCTGGACAATCCGTTGACCGGTTCCGTGAGGTGGCTTTTCGCATCCGGATTCCGGAGGCCGATCCCTTAAACCTTCAGAAGCGCTAAGCCACCGAACCCACAGCCATGTCTTGGGGTTGAAGGGGGTTGAAGGTTGAGAGTACAGGGACAGTTGCTGGCACAGGTTACATCGGAGCCCCTGCTTCCGGAACCGTTCAGCTTCGGGCCCGGGCTGAGTAGAAGTAGCTCCATGTAAGAGGAAACGCTTCATGCACAAGCTTCGCCCGCCACATGTTTATGGTGTGTGTTCGATCCATGTGCCGCCGGTCTGGGACGTCTTCCCGGCGCAGATCATGTCGGCAAGGACAGCACCACCCCGCGCCGCACAAGAAGCCCTTGTCCCTAAAGCCTGAATCCTAGCCGCTTCAAAAGTCCTGAAGCTAACGCCCTCAACCCTGAAGCCCCAAAGCCCTACCCTAACCCCCGAAAGCTTGGGCTGTTCCCTCTTTTTCTACCAGTCCTGAATCGGGATTACAGTATCCCTACTATAGTCCCTGTTACGGACTGTTAGTATAAGGGGGGAACATCTCAACTTGAACCCATAAACCCTACACCCTAAACCCTAAACCCTAAACCCCAAACCCCCTAAACTCTAAAGAGCCCCTAATAAAGAGCCTTATAGAGTGGAGGCATGTACGTGACGGACATCTCCCATCCGCTGAATTCGGCTCGCACCCGGGCTCCGCACCTTTGGGCTGCAACCCAGGTGTCGTGCTTAGGGGTTTGGGGCTTTAGGGTTTAGGGTTTAGGGTTTAGGGTTAAGGGTTTAGGGTTTCGGGTTTGGGTCTGCAGACTGTGGCTCATTTTGGGGTTTTTCAGAATAAAATACGAAGCCCCAGAGTTAAAACTGCTTGCAGACGGTGGGGTTGTTGTTGTGGTCGTTTGCAGTTTAGGATAAGGGCTCATGAAGGCTCAACTTGGCCTCCTAGACCCCCTAAATCCTAAACCCTAATTAAGCCCTACAGACCCTAAGTCCTGCAAACCCTAACCCTACAAACCCCTAAACCCTACAAACCCTCCAAGCCCCAAACCCTACAAAAACCCTAGAACGCCCTAAGCCCAACCCTACAAACCCCACAAACCCCTACAAACCCAGACAAACCCCTGCCCCTAAACCCTAAACCCTAAACCATACACCCTAAACCCTAAACCCCCAGAAACCCTAGGATGCAGATGGGGATGTCGGCCGGCTTGCTGTGCGGCCCTGCTCTGGGAGGCCTGGCTATGCCAGGGCTCCGGGATTTTGGGGCTCCTGGGGGGTTGATAGTTTAGGGTTTAGGGTTTAGGGTTTAGGATTTAGGGTGTAGGGTGTAGGGTGTAGGGTGTAGGGTTTGGGGTTTAGGGTTTAGGGTTTAGGGTTACTGTTATTGGTGTGTGTGTGTGTGTGTACGAAGGTTCCTAAGCTTCCTTTTTAATATTGGTGAGTGTATATACCTGGTGTCCTTTTGGGTGGGTACAAGAAATATCAACCCTAAACCCTAAACCCTAAACTCTAAACCCTACTTCATATGGCTTACAATGCCCCCTTCCCCCCCTGAACGCCCCACAACGCCAAGCCTAAACCCTCAGCTCCTGAAGGTTTGAACCCACATCCTACGCTAAAGACCATAAAAAACCCCACATCTCACCGAGAAACCCTAAACCCTAAACCCTAAACCCTAAACCCTAAACCCTAAACCCTAAACCCTAGACCCTAAACCCTAAACCCTAAACCCTAAACCCTAAACCCTAAACCCTGTCCAGGCTACCTCCTGGAGCACGTGGGCCTCTGCTCCATGACCCTCGGAGTGGGCGCAGCCTCCTTAGCCACGGCCGCAGCAGTCTTCGCGCTCTTGCCCGCTCCTGGGGCCGGTTTGGCGTAACCCTAAACCCTAAACCCTAAACCCTAAACCCTAAACCCTAAACCCCTAAACCCTTCCAGGGCTTAGGGCCCATGAATGCCAAAGACCCTAAAGCCCTCCGAGCCGAAGAACACACCCGTGAGAATGGGTTTAGGGTTTCGCGTTTAGGGCTTTAGGGTTTCGGGTTTAGGGCTTAGGGCTTTAAATTTAGGGTTTCGGGTTTAGGGTTTCGCGTACCCGTGCGAGTGGGTTTAGGGTTTCGCGTTTAGGGCTTTAGGGTTTCGGGTTTAGGGCTTAGGGCTTTAGGGCTTTAGGACTTGAAGAACCCCAATCCTACTATAAGCTGCCAATGCCTGGGAAGAACCGTAGACCCTCAACCTTGAAGCTTCAGCCCTAAAGCCTGAAGCCGAAAACCTGCCTAGGAGACGCATCGGGCAAATCCAGAGAAACGACCCTTGCGAGGCCTGGGGGCCCTACAGAGTAGGGCTTCGTTCAGTATGAATATTATCATTATTGTTTTTTTGTGATTATTGGTACTTGTCTTGCTTGATTTGCTTTTGCCTTTTTTTGTGGATTTAGGGTTAGGTTTGGGATGTTGCCCCTGACACTAGCAGTCCTTCATGGGGATTTCAGGAGGGGGTACTATCATCCCTTTTAAGGACCTGTTAGTGCAAGGGGGAACATCCCAAGTTTAGGCTGTAGGGTTTAGGGTTGAGGGGTTTAGGGTTTAGGGGTTAGGGGTTTAGGGTGGTTAGGATGGATTATGGCTTTGGCATTGAAAGTGTTGAAAAACACCGTTAAGGAAGCTGCTCTCGGGGTTGTCGTTCAGAGCGCTTCGCAACAGAACATTAGCTTTCAAAGTTGGCTGTATTAAAAGGCTGCAAGGGGCCAGGTAAATGAGAATGTTCCTGATGGGGTTGCCGTTAGCCGTAAACCCTGTAGAACAGTTAAGCTTTGAGCGTCGGCTGTACTTGAGACCTTTTAAGGCCTTTAACCCTACACCCGAAACCAGAAAACCCATCCCATGCTTCAGGCGTGGGGCATACGCTGCGCTCGTGGTCGCCGATACTTAGCGGCCAACAGTTCCGCTCAGTTCTTGGATTTGGCTGGTGCTACAATGCCGCCTTCTGGGGAGACACTGGGCACAGTTAACGGTTTGAGGTTTAGGGTTTAGGGTTTAGGCTTTGGGGCACCCGAAGAAAGCCTAAGACTAAGAACCGAATCTAAGCAATTGAGCCCTGCAGAAAACCCGACCAATTCTTGAAACAGAAGCCCCCCTGGGCCTTTTCTGAGCGGTTTAGGGCAGTAAGCTTTGGGAGTTACTAGCTTTTCAAATACCCGGGGGCGGAAAGCGTTTAGGGTTTAGGGTTTCGGGTTTAGGGTTTAGGGTTTCTTGAAGTATGAGGCGATGGCTCTCCTACCGCTGGTCTACGTGGATCTGGCCCTCAGCCCCACTGTCGTGGGTGGCCTCTCCACCGTCAACGCAGTGGCCACTTCGTCTCAGGATTCCAGTTCCATTTCTTGCTTGGGCTTAGGGTTTAGTGTTTAGGGTATAGGGTTTAGGGCTTGGGGTTTAGGGTTTAGGCTTTACGTTTTAGAGTTTAGGGTTTAGGGTTTAGGGTTTAGGGCTTAGGGCTTAGGGCTTAGGGCTTAGGGTTGAGTTCGGGGGTTCTAACTTTGACATCGGGATTGTTTCAATCGATGATCCCTGTCGGGTACCCTTCTTCATCAAGGCCTGTCTTTCTGCATTGTACTAGGTATCCCTAAACCCTAACCCTAAACCCTCAATCCTAAACATAGGTATCCCCAGAAAGAGACCCCAATCTTACCAGGGGTACTTTTCGCATGAGACGAGTTTCTTCCTGGCAGAAACCCCCAGATCCCTGTAACACAGTACACAGACTATTGGGAATTCGAGACTCCTCGACCTGTAAGGTCCCAAACCGCGATCTCTCCAACAGTCCTTCTCTCTGAATACTTTGAAAAAGTAAACCCTAAACCCGAAACCCTAAACCCTAAACCCTAAACCCTTATCTACAACCCCTGTAGACCCCCAAACTTGCGAAGTATCCGGCCATGTGGGTCTTACCCAAAATAGGGGCAATTGCGACTTTTATGCCCCTAAATAGAGTCGAATCCCCTTAGAGGGACCCCCCCCCAAAAAAAAGCGTCCCCCTACTCTCAGAAACCCTAAACCCTAGACCCTCAAAAGCCCCCCAATGGTATCTCAGATCAGCCTAGCCGTCACGCCGGTGGTCGCACGAAGTGTCCCTTGGAGCCCAAGCAGAGCTTCATAGGACCCTGCTCACCCAAACCTATCTCTGTACACAGGATGTATGGGGGTTTACGATGATAAGGGACCCATAGTATGACGCCCAAATAGTAGGATCCCCTATAGTAAGGACCCCAATAAGGTACCCCGAATCTCGCAAACGCCCTATATACATGCGCACACACACACATGCATATATGCCGCAAATGCAGATACTTGAATCCTCGCAGTGGCGCTGCGATCAGAATCAGTATGCACCCACTCCACGGAATCGCCGCATAAACCCTCCACAACCTGAAGCCCGAAACCTTATATTGAAGCAAACTTCTGCACGCCTCGGCTTACGCTAGGGAAGGCTTCCACGGTTTAGGATTCAAGGTTTAGGGCTTACAGTAAGGTTCCAAGGAACCATATTAGCGTCCCCCTTTTGCATGGCAGTTGTTGCTTTTTCTTCTCCTGGTTCAGGGGGACTTGTGGGGACACAGAGCAACCCCTTGCCGGGCCTGGAGAGTGGGGGCTCACGGGCTTGTCGGTGCGAGGATGTGAGGATTTGCCGTCAAGGGTTTAGGGTTTAGGGTTTAGGGTTAGGGTTTAGGGTTTAGGGTTTAGGGGGTTTAGGGGGTTTAGGGGGTTTAGGGGGTTTAGGGGGTTTAGGGTTTAGGGTTTAGCTCCAGTCTCGGGAGTGTGTTGGGCCCGAGGCTGACCACCTGGGCAAGATGGCGGTGGTCCTGCCTGGAGCGATTGTGCCACTTCCTTTGCGCATTTCTGGGGATCCAAATGGGAGTTTAGGGTTTAGGGTTTAGGGTTTAGGGTTTAACATTTAAGATCTTCATTAGAAGTTTGTGGAAATAAAAGATTTCCACCTTTAGGTGTTAATGTTTGTAATATATTATTAGTTATTGTAGTAAATGGATTAGATAATGAATTAGTTGATAAATTTTTAGTATCTTCTTGTATATTTTGTAATTTTTTATTACTATTATTTAATTTCAACTATACGTTTACTTAAATAATCTAATGAGTTTTTTTCTTCTTCACTATACAAAAAAACAAAACACAATTTTGAAAATCACATGAAAATGAAAAAAACGCAATTTTCATCCAAAATTGGAAAAATCCAAGAGGGTTTAGGGTTTAGGGTTTAGGGTTTAGGGTTTAGGGTTTAGGGTTTAGGGTTTAGGGTTTAGGGTTTGGGAGTTTCCGAACGTAAACCCTAAACACTAAACCCTCTATTTGGGGGAGGGGGTGGGGGCTCTGACAACAAGGATTAGATAGAGGTTTTTGGGGGGTACAGTAGGGGGGGGGGGGGGGGGCGACATCTAGGTCTGGCAACCTCGACAACAGGCGTTCATGAGCTCATCAAACCTCAATCCCCAAACCCCGTATGCACAACAGTTCAGGGCCTCCAAGGTATAGGGGGCTTTGGGGTTTAGAATATAGAGCAACCCAAAACCCTAGCCACCTCTTACCTCTCATGCCAACGATCCACGCCCCAAAAGGCCTTGAGCATTAAACAACAGCACAGGGTGTTTATGCATTTGCTTTGGAATGTTCCCCCTCATTCTTACAGTTCTTAATACTGATTGTCGTACCCCCTATCATGATCCCTATTAAGGACTGCTAGTATAAGGGGACCATCCCAACATTCGCTCATGAAGCCGTTTGCAACAAATCACAGGCCGGGGCGGTTGCTATTCCTTTGTCTTGCAAGTAAGCATTCGCAACCCTAGACTTTAGACCCTAAACTAAGCCCTAAACTCACAGTGCATTAAACCCTAAACCCTAAACCCTAAACCCTCAACCCTAAACCCGAAACCCTAAACCCTAAACCCTAAACCCTAAACCCTAAACCCGAGGTACGGGGCAGGGATCATTCTGGTGCCGCACGTCTCATCCTTGCTGGAGCTGTGCCGCGGCAGCGCCTACGAGTGGTCCTTAAGCGGGCGGCGGAGGGTTTAGGGTTTAGGGTTTAGGGTTTAGTGTTTAGGGTTTAGGGTTTAGGGTTTAGGGTTTATGACATTGTGTAGGTTCCAGGATGTAGGGTTGAGTCGCAAGAGTTCTTGTCTTCTTTGAGCTCTTGTTCGGCTTCACGGAATCCACAGACTGCCAGGTTCTACCAGTGATTTGCGCCTGGCACAGAACTACTGGATGGGGCATACGAGGGGTTCAAGGTAGCTGAGGATCCTCGTAAGGGGATTCTACCTATGTTTCGGGATCGAAGATCGTGAGCCCCTACACCCTAAACCCTCAACCCTAAGGCCTAAACCCTAAACCTGCTCTGGTTTTTGTAGCTTGTGATTGCGGCCGTCTTGGTGGCAAGCTGCCTTCGTCCTTCGCCAGGTGAATTCCTTCAGTTTCTGTAGAAAGCAGAGCCTCAGTGTCTTCCGTGGTTTTTAGAGGGTTTGGGGCCTTTAGGGTTTAGGGGTTATAGGGTTTATAGGGTTTATAGGGTTTATAGGGTTTATACGGTTTATAGGGTTTATAGGGTTTATAGGGTTTATAGGGTTATAGGGTTTATAGGGTTTATAGGGTTTATACCGTTTATAGGGTTTATAGGGTTTGTGGGGGGTTTGGGGTTTAGGTTTTAGGGTTTAGGGTTTAGGGTTTAGGGCCCCACAACCCCAGCTCATCTCAGGTTGCCGGTCCTTGCGGCGATGCAAGTTGGCGCCTGCATGTGCGCGCAGGAGCCATGAGAACTGTCATCTGTTTAGGGCTTAGGGTTTAGGAGTGTAGGAGTTTAGGAGTTTAGGGTTTAGGAGTTCAGGGTTTAGGGTTTAGGGTTTAGGGATCAGGGTAGCTCACCTTTGCAGACCTGAAAAACCTGCAGCCACCTGAAGAACCCAACTCCTTACTCTCCAAAGCTGCCCGCGAACCTTTCGAGTGGCCCGAAGAGGCGTGGTGATCGGTAAGCCTGGGAAGCCCAGTGGTGCCCTTTACTCTTTTTTTTTTTGGTTAAGGGTTCCCTGAAAAATATCTTAACCCAAAAAAGGGTGCCCTTATTATAATATAGTTACTAGGCTACCAAGAAGCTGAACTTGAAGGAGCCCTTAGATCTGGGCATGTTCAGGCCGCTGAGGGTTGGGCGTTTAGGGTGTAGGGCTGAAGGTCCCACGTGCCCCTGAACACCCCTAAAACGCCCTACAGAGACCCTAAATGCCGACATCTACCTACACCCTAAACCCTAAACCCTAAACCTTAAACCCTAAACCGCTCTCCCCATGCGCAGGCTCAGATGCATGCCATGGATCTGGTCTCGGCAGCTTGGGTCTTGCAAGCCAGCTGGGGTTTGGGGTTTGGGGTTTAGGGTTTAGGGTTTAGGGTTTAGGGCTTAGGGCTTAGGGTTTAGGGTTTAGGGTTTAGGGTGCAGGGTTTGGGCTTTGGGGTTTAGGGTTTAGGATATGCGGTTTCATTTCGGCTTTAGGGTTTAGGGTTTAGGGTTTAGCGTTTTGGGTTTAGGCTTTCGGGTTTAGGGTTTATGGGTTTGGGTTTGTGACTTGGGTTTAGTGCTGCTGTTTTCCGAAATGCTGTCAGCCACCTTCCGGAGCGCCCTCGGATCCTTTAAGTCCCAAGCCATGTACTCCCACAGCCTCTGAACTCCCCAAACCCTAAACCCTGAACCCTAAACCCCAAACCCCAAACCCTAAACCCCAAACCCTAAACCCTGAACCCTAAACCTAGATCTTGGATCCTGAATCCGAAATCCTCAGCCCTAAACCGCCATCCCTGGCCAGGTCAGAGATCGTGCGAAGGTACCAAGTCTGTGGAACACCTTCGGGGACACAGGACGCCCTAAACCATTCCACGCTCTCGAACCCTAAACCCTAAACCCTCAGCCGGAAAACCTAAACCCCAAACCCTAAACCCTAAACCCCAAACCCGAAACCCTAAACCCTAAATCTCGGGGGCATTTCAGGCTCTGGAACTGAACCCAGGCCCAGTGAGACCCAAAGCCCTAGGCCTGAGTCTCCTCGAGGGTTCAGGGTTTAGGGTTTAGGGTTTACGGTTTACGGTTTAGGGTTTAGTTTTTTCGGGTTTAGGATGTAGGGTTTGGGGTTTAGGGTTTCGGGTTTAGGGTTTGGAGCTTACAGGGTTTAGGGTTTTTTTGCGGCTTGGAAGTCTGGCAGGTTTCGGGCTGGTCTGCGGCTTTCACTCACGGCGTCTAACCCCAAAGCTCCAAAGCCCCAAGGCCCAATGACCCCTGAAAAGGGGTTCAGGCTGTAGGGTTTGGGGTTTAGGGTGTAAGTAGGGTTTAGGGTTTAAGGGTTAAGGGTTTAGGGTTTAGGGTTTAGGGTTTAGGGTTTAGGGTTTAGGGTTTAGGGTTTAGGGTTTCGAAACCCTAAAGATGCACGTGGTGGAGGAATGCTCTTCTCCTCCTTCACCTCCTCGCTTCTTGCTCAGGAGCCCATGTTGGAGTCTCCTAACCCTAAACCCTAAACCCTAAACCCTAAACACTAAACCCTAAACCCTAAACCCTAAACCCTAAACCCTAAACCCTAAACCCTAAATCCCTTACCCTGACGCCCGATCCCTTTCCCTGAACCCTTATCCCTGAACACCGTACACCCGGAAAAATCCCTAATTGCGACTGGATGAGTCAGCACGCGCAATCTTCGGATGTGGGTTCAGGGCTTGGGCCTCGGGAAAATTCGGCTTTTCGGGTTTTTTTTTGGCACTGTCGGGCCATCGCAGAGTTGGAGGAATCGGAAGAGGCCCCCAAGCACGGCATGTCAAGCAATCTCCCAAACGAAGCCCTAAACCCTAAGCCCCAAACCCCAAACCCCAAACCCTAAACCCCAAACCACAAACCCTAAACCCCAACACCCCAAAACCCCAAACCCTAAACCCTAAACCCGTAAGCCCTAAGCCCTAAACCCTAAACCCTAAACCCCTAAAACCCTAAACCTTCATAAGCCGTGTCTGGCTCCTCAATCCCCAACCCATCCGTGCTCAAAGTGGGGCCAATGCCGGCATTCCTCTAAGCACTTGGATGGTCTCTTACACCGTCCCCTAAACCCTTCATCCGATTCGGGTTGTTTAGGGTTTAGGGTTTGGGGTTTGGGGTTTGGGGTTTGGGGTTTGGGGTTTAGGGATGTAGCCTTCAGGGCTCGTGTGCGTTGTTGCTAGGGCAGATAAGACCAACGTCATCAACAGAATATGAAGTTTTGTCCTTCGATGCATCAGCCTCCGTTCCGCTCTACCCTAGATACCCATGCGAACTCGGCGCCAACATCTCGAACCTGGGTTCATGACATCTATCCAGCTACCCTAAACCCTAAACACTAAACCCTAAACCCTAGACCCTAAACGCACAAAGTTCTCAAGAGCTGCACAGTACGCGCAGGCTTTTGGCCTGGGCAGCGCCTTCTACGCAGATGGCGTGCTGCCACCTCGCCAAGCTTCACTTTCATGGGGTTTTGGGGTTTAGGGTTAGGGGTTTAGGGGTTTTGGGGTTTAGGGGTTGGGGTGTAGGGTTTGTGGTTTGGGGTTTAGGGTTTGGGGTTTAGGGTTTTCGGGCGTCTTGGTCTTGTAGAGGATACAGAGCCTATGCACGTTGGCCCCTGGGCCCGACATGCAACATCCTCTACCAGGACGCCTACAGGGTTTTCTTTCGAACTGCTTGATTCGTTGGGATAGCCTACATAAAAGCCCTAAACCCTAAACCCTAAACCCTAAACCCTAAACCCTAAACCCTAAACCCTAAACCCTCTCCCCTACTATAAAGCAAGCTATGGCCCTTTTGAACCAAAGCCCGACGAACCTAAATCCCGGGAGGGGGGGCTCATAGCAACCCCCCAATAGTCGGTTTAGGGTTCAGGGTTTAGGGTTTAGGGTTTAGGGTTCAGGGTTTAGGGTTTAGGGTTCAGGGTTTAGGGTTTAGGGTTTAGGGACGGCCGTGGCTGAGCGATTTGAAGAGTCCTGTGGTTTTGGGGGGCTTCGGGTTGCATTGTAATCGCCTCTTAGCCGCAAGTACTGAAAAAAACACTTCAACTATGTCCACCAAACATTCTTCAAATAGTTTTGGTTTAGAAAGCGTTGTGCAGTAAGAAAAAAGTTTAAGGATATAGCAAAATTTCGGATTTGTTGACATAACATGTTTCTTCTTGTTGTTTTTTGGGTATGTTTGAAAATATGATCTGAACTTAAAACCTTCGTTTCTGAACTTAAAGCCTTAAACCATTGGTTTCTGAACGTAAAACGCCGTTTAAGTTCAGATGTTATGGTTTCCAAAAAACGGCAAAAAGCAAAACCAGTTTGCCCAACTTTCTCAAAATGCTTTCAAGTATTGTTGGCGAAGCATTGGGATTTGGCAGTTTTTGTTTTCCCATGATATTGTTTTGTTTTCCTCAATTGCAGATTGCTTTTAAGCTTTTCATCGTTCTTGACTTTTTCTGTTTTGAAGTTTTCGAGGGTTGTCATGCATAAACCGTTCACAGGCCTTCTTAAAATCTAAACCCTAAACCCTAAACCCCACACCCTAAGACCTAAACTCCAAGCCCTAAACCCTAAACCGTAAGCACTCAATTCCTTGTCGTGATACACTCACCAAGAACAGTACAATATAAACTCTGTTTCATATCGTATATACTTGGGCCCTAAAGCTCCTATATAGGAACCCCTTTAAGGCCAAGTATATACTAGACTCCAAAGTAGGGGGTCGAGGGGGATTGAGGGGAACCCTAAACCCTAAACCCTAAACCCTAAACCCTAAACCCTAAACCCTAAACCCTAACCCTAAACCCTAAACCCTAAACACTAAACCCTAAACCCTATAAACCCTAAACCCTAAACCCTAAACCCCTCTTGGCTGGAATTGTTCGAGGTGGTCGTGCGAAGTGCAGGGCGAGGGCATAAACCTTGCACCCTAAGACCTAAGACCTTGTAAGTTTAGGGTTTATTGTTTGGGGTTTATTTAGGGTTTAGGGTTTAGGGTTTAGGGTTTAGGGTTTAGGGTTTAGGGAGCCCTTCAGAGAGAAGCCCTAAACCATAAGCCAACAAACTTGAGGCTCCTCGTCGCCAGCGGTGGCATGTTCATCATGACCCGGCGCTAGTGCGAAGCGGCACAGTCTTCGACAGGTTTGGCTGAGGGTTTTAGGGTTTAGGGTTCAGGGTTCAGGGTTCAGGGTTAAGGGTTTAACTGAAGCTCATAGGTTTGGATGGGTTTGGGTCATAGAGGACATGTGGTGTAGGTTGTGTTGTTCATGTGCGCGGGACCTTCCTGATTCGTCCAAACGGGACACAGTTCTGTCGGTTATGTTTTCCCATTCCGAACCTCAAGACCCTGAGTCCGAAGCTGTAATCTCTGAAACCCTAAACCCTAGCCCTAAACCCTAAACCCTAAACCCTAAACCCAGTCTCTGAACCCTAGTTAAGCAAAAAATGGCCGGCTGGGGATCTCCCCCTACTTTGCTGGTAGAAACCCTCCTGGCCTATCTGGGCGTTTTTGGGGGAACTGCTGTGGGGCAGGGGTTGGGGGGGGCTTCATCATGACTCCGAACAGTCCGAACAGAGAGCGGGAGGCGCTGGGGCTTGGCTTTGTACTGTAGGGGTTTAGGGCTCATGGGGTTTAGGGTTTAGGGCCCTTGTTGATGAGCGGATGAACAGCTACTTGGACATTCAGGGGTACTTTCAAGTAGGGCTATAAGTAGGGTATCCATGGTTAGAACAACCTTATTTTAGGGGACAAATAGCCCTACTTATAAGTATCCTTCAAGTATCCTTGTCAACTCACCCGTTCTTTGGGCTTACGAAAAGCTCGAGGTCCAAGACGCCAAATCTGTCGATGTTGCTTCAAGAACAAAAGCTGTCTCACATGTGTATCGCAAGGCGCTTGCTTCAAAAAAGGGCGCTTCACAAGGAGTGGGGCCCACCCCAATCCCTGAAGTGCCCGGTATGCCTCTTTGTCAGGGCAAATGTGCTTGTTGCTTCTTGTAGAGGGGGCCTCTTTGTGTTTTTGTGCAGTTTGTGTGTTAGTTTTCTTGGCGCGATAAAGGGTGGCTGTGTTATGGTGACGGCCAGGGGCATGCTTAGGACGACTTTTAGCCCACGCAACAACCTTCTGTTCAAGAGAGTCATACTCGGACAAACCCTAAACCCTAAACCCTAAACCCTAAACCCTAAACCCTAAACCCTAAACCCTAAACCCCCAAGGATGTACCCCCGAGAGGTCCCCTTAGCATACTCCTATCATGGCACTTCTATTCCCAAGGCGGATCCTTCACAAGGGTCCCTAAACCCAAGGGTACAAGCTGAGGCATCCAAGGTAGAGTCCCATGACATGAACCGGTCTAGGGTCTTAGGGTCTTAGGGTCTTAGGGTTTAGGGTTTAGGGTTTAGGGTTTAGGGTTTAGGGTTTAGGGTTAGGACCCACGGACACACGGGGCGGGGGATTGGCCTGCCTTAGGGCCCTAGAAAAACGCGGGCTCAAGATTTAGGGTCTCGAGCTTATGCTTTCTGGGTGCAACCCTAAACCCTAAACCCTAAACCCTAAACCCTAAACCCCAAACCCCAAACCCTAGACCCTAAGTCGTGGGACGTCCGGATGACATGAACGAAAGCTGAGGCTCGAGCCAAAGGCCTTGGCTCCCTTTGAGCCGCCCCAACCCCAGCCTGCGAAACCAGAATTAATGCTTGGGGCCTTATAAGGTTTAGGGGTTTGGGGTTTATAGGGTTTAGGGTTTAAGGGGTTTAGGGGTTTAGGGGTTTTCCCGAGCCCGGATCTTCTCTGCCGCGGCTATCGTCAGCAGCACATGAGTGGCCGAGACAATGTGGACACTGAGCGACCAAGAGCTTCGCATTCTCAGTGGAGCCAGCCGACGCAACATTCCGGCTTGGCGTGGTCACGCATGCTGCATGTGCAGAAGGATGATCCTAAAACCTAGAGCCCCGAATAAAGCCCTGACTAAACCCCCCTAAACCCCTAAACTCCTAAACCCCTAGAATCCCTCAACCCCTCTTAGTGGCTGCTCCACTCCTCAACCCCTAAACTCCATTCGCCTGAAGCATTCCCATGGCGCGCCGACCCAGACATGATCGGCTGTAGGCCGGCAAGGGTCTGCCAGGAGCGGCTGAGAGATAGGGTTTAGGGTTTAGGGTTGAGGGTTGAGGGTTGAGGGTCGATGGTTTAGGGTTTAATTAGGGTTTACGATTTAGGGTTTAGGGTTTAGGGCACGTGCCCAGTTTGGGGCTATTTTTGCGCCTGGTTTGCCGCCAACCTCAAACGCAGGGAGGCCGCACCGGTTTGGGATAAAAAAACGCCAAGACCCCAGGCCCCAAAACCCTAAACCCCAAAGCCCAAAACCCTAAACCCCGAAACCCTAAACCCCAAACCCCTAAACCCTAAACACCAAAACCCCAAACCCCCCAAAACCCTAAACACCAAACCCTAAACCCCAAAACCCTAAACACCAAAACCCAAAACCCCCCAAAACCCTCAAAGCCAGCCGACCAGGCTGACACGCCATGTCGCCACTGCCATCCCGCTCCAGGAGCCTGTTGGGTCGGTTTTAGGGTTTTAATGGTTAGGGTTTAGGGTTTAGGGTTTAGGGTTTAGGGTTTAGGGTTTAGGGTTTAGGGCTTAGGGCTTAGGGCTTAGGGTTTAGGGTTTAGGCGTAACTGGGAGCTTCGAAGTTTCGACTTCAGTGGGGGCTTCGGGTGTCACGGATTGAAGCTGAATTTCGGGGCTAAGGGGCTAAGGGGCTCATAAGAGAGGCTGTATCCCATATCGCCTAGACGCCATCCATCCGAAGCCCTAAGCCCAAAACCGCAAGTTTTTCAAGCCTTCATCCCGAAGCCCTACCACCCGGAAGGCCCAAACCCCTAGAGTTTTAGCCGTAACCCTGAACTTTCTTTTGAAAAGCTTTCTTTTGAAGCCCAAAATAGCAAACCAACCCCAAAACCCTTAACCCCAAACCCTGAGCCCGCTAAAGCCCACACCCCAAAGACGCTAAATCCCCTAAACCCTAAGCCCAAAACCCTAAATCCATAAACCCCAACTCTAAACCCAACACCCTAAACCCTAAACCCTAAACCCTAAACCCTAAACCCTAAACCCTAAACCCTAAACCCTAAACCCTTTCTTCAGGGCTGGAGTCCTGTGCTTGCAGCCCTACATCGGCTTCAGGACATGCGCCGCAAGTGCCTCCAACCCAAAAGCGCTTGCATCACACCCCCCGAACCTTTCTAGGGCTTAGGGTTTAGGGTTTGGGGTTTAGGGTTCAGGGTTTAGGGTGTAGGGTTTAGGGTTTGGAGCTACAAGCCCCACACCACTCAACTTAGGCCCTAAATCCTGGAGACTTTGTTGGGCTTGGGTCCAACTGAGGCGTAGAGGATTAGGGGCGCTCCAGGGCTCCTAAGCCAAAGCCCTTTGTCAAGGTTTGCCATGTGCCTACCGACCTGCCTTAGCCCTAAACCCTAAACCCGAAATCCGAAACCCGAAACCCTAAACCCTAAACCCGAACTCCTGATTTCAGACCGCGGAACGTCGGTGGCTCGCGGGGTTTAGGGCCTTTTGGGGTTTGAAGGGTTTTCAGGGTTGGCGATACCAGAGCGAGAGCGACCCGGTTCAGGTCAGTCCAGCAGAGCTTCAAATATATCTAAATATATATATGTATATATATATATATATATATCTGGCCACTTCTGCAGATTATGGTCCATTTTGGGGTTTCGGCCCCTAATTAATGCTTACCCTAAACCCTAAACCCTAAACCCTAAACCCTAAACCCTAAACCCTAAACCCTAAACCCTAAACCCTAGACCCTAAACCCTAAACCCTAAACCCTAAACCTTAAACCCTAATCCCTAAACCCTAAACCCTAAACCCTAACCCTAAAGGGTACCCACAAAAGTTCCCTAATTTTGAGAACTGACCATATATGTAAAAGCCCATCAGTCCATCGTCAAGATGTCTTTTCCGGGAAGCAGCGCTCCACCCTAAACCCTAAACCCTAAACCCTAAACCCTAAACCCTAAACCCTAAACCCTAAACCCTAAACCCTAAACCCTAAACCCTAAACCCTACACCCTAAACCCTAAACCCTAAACTTGTTGAGCCCTTTTGTGCTGATAGGATGTTGCACCCACCTTCGCCGGACAGTTCGATGCATCCGGGGTCTGTCGAGCTTGGGCCTTTTGGGTTTAGGGAATTAGTGTAGTAGTGTATGGGGTTTGTAGGGTTTAACCCTAAACCCTAAACCCTAAACCCTAAACCCTAAACCCTAAACCCTAAACCTTAGGGTCAATAGGGTTGAGGTGGAAGCCCAGAAAACACTCTGCAAGGACCCGCGATGCCCACCGCCACGGCAGCAGGAAGCACTGCAGTCACTGCTGGAGCATGAGGTCAGGAGTTGTGGGAAAAGGGCCCTAAACCCTAAACCCTAAACCCTAAACCCTAAACCCTAAACCCTAAACCCTAAACCCTAAACCCTAAACCCTAAACCCTAAACCCTAAACCCTAAACCTAAACTAAACCCGAAACCCTAAACCCTAAACCCTAAACCCTAAACCCCACCACAAGACCTAGCGATTCGGACGTCTAGTTCAGCGGATAGAAGGTTTCTGGAGTTTAGGGTTTGAGGTTCGGGGCTTCGGGTTTGGGGTTAGGGTTATGGGGGGATGGTTGTAGAAAGTGGTCTTTTTGTGGGTTCCACGGTTTTTTTTGGTTAACCTCAAATTTTCGAAACAGCCTGCATATAGGGTTTAGGGTTTAGGGTTTAGGGTTTAGGGTTCAGGGTTAGGGTTTAGGGTTCAGGGTTCAGGGTTTAGGGTTTAGGGTTTAGGGTTTAGGGTTTAGGGTTTAGGATGTAAATGTAGGGTTTAGGGATCTCCGCTATCAGACCAAAGAACCGACAACGAAGGCAGTCAGTGCACCTCTCATTGCTTGAAAGGACCCTAAACCCCTCAAGGCCTAAACCCTAAACCCTAAACCCTAAACCCTAAACACTAAACCCTAACCCCCCCCCTCCCCCCAACCCCCCTAAAGTAGAACCCAGAACTCGTCGCGCGTGTGGCCAGGCATTCTTCGCCAGCGTCAAGGCTCCGATCCCTAAGC